AGAGCTAGACCCATAATTCAGCATGTTATAAATCCCGGATAAGGATGAAAGACTGCCACAAAAGACATTACTGTCCATTCTATCTAATGAGCCAGTACATCAGCGCCTGGAGACGCTCACCCACCAGCCCTCTCGCAAAACACTTCTTCACCTGTCCCTCGCACAAAGACTATTCTGATTGTTAATTACGGGATCAATAGTGTAAATAATATATTTCATCTCCCTGCTGGTGATACAAAACCAACTTTCACTCTTTCGTCACCGAGACATACATCTCGTGCTTGACAAGCCATCTGCGGATCGATGCAGTGATAAGTTTAGCTATACTTCCTCTTCAAACATCGGACCTTCTCTGAATTAAGCAGATTGATGAGGTCTATGAATACAACGCCTCCCATGCTACCAACAGCCGTTTGTGCGTATGTGCGTTTCATCGTCACATTACTCGTCCCTGTAGACCTCAAGCTCAAATCCCCACTAGCTGGATCTGTCTCGTATTTTCACTACATAAAGTCCTGTTGGAGGCCTGACAAATAATACAAAACGGTTTTACAGTTTTAAAAGGTGATTTTGCATTATTATTTGCAAAATCTGCATTTTCATGGGTTTAAATAAATAATTTTTGGTATAAGAGACAGAAGTTTTTTGGTAAAAAAAAAAAAAAAAAAACTGATAAAAACTTTCCTGGTAAAAAAAAAATTAACTTGATTTTAAAAAGTCAAAGAATTTGCGATAGCTGAATGTAACATTTTGACTGTCTCTGAGTAACATGTAATTTATTCAAGCTACAAAATAAACTTCAATCCGTGAAAATGTATAATGAACTACTCAAAAAGCATTTGAATAATCAAACATAGGTCACCCTTTACACACGTTATCACGTCCGTAAAAAACTTGGGCTAGCTGTCGGTGGGAATCAAAGGGGTAATCCATCAGCCGGAAGCTGAAGCATCGCGGGAGCCGCCATTGTAGCAGAACTTCATGTGCTGTTAGCATCCCATTGACTCCCATTCATTTTTCCATCACTTTGATAGCGAATAACTTTACATCTGAGGCGTCCAAAGACTTCATTTGTTCATTATTTATTTCTAAAGAAACACAACAATGTATAAAATGCTCCATTACTTTGTATCTTATACGTTACACCCCGTAGAAGCCGTTTTTGTAAAAATAGGCTAAAGATTGCATCATAACCACAGGACTTTCTGTCGCACAATAGAGACATTACCGTATAGACATATATAGGAGGAGAAGCTCGCAGGCAATATTTTCCGGTCTATGAGCCAATCGGGGGGACATGGAGGCATAAAGTCAAGGTAGAAGTCCATAAATAGAGAGTCCATAAAAGCAACGGGACAAAATATTTCAACGTTTTTGAGGAATGAGGTGATTCAGATTTGTCTTGGCACAGCTACTAGAAGATTTTCAACTGTCAGACTGTCGTCACGCTCAGTTTGAGCCTGCGCAGTCGCTCAGACATCAGACAGGAAGTGCAATCATCGGGCTTCAGTCTTCTCCGTTGAAATCAATGGGGTCGCTGTGTCCATATCTTTTGCTGTCTATGGTTGGAATCATAGACTGTAAAAAAGAAGGACGACGCCCCTTCGCTCTTTTCCTTCGGAGAGAACTGAAGTCGCCAATGTCCCGATATGGCGCTTGAGTCTCTGCACTTGCGTTTTCAGGACCAGACATGCGCGGTCGTGAGCAGTCGTCGTGCAAAATCAAGGCTGAATCTATCGCAAGCACACGCCCTGTTCATTAATGATGTCTGCTAATTGCAATACCTCGTAAAAATAAGGTCAACATTATGAAAAAAAGTCTGTTGGTGCTTCAGTAACTACTTCGCACAGAGAACCTGTCCATCATGATGGCACAGCACTGTTTTCATAGCAACTAAAAACAAACTTACTTTAAAAACTCTTCAAAACTTTTGAAATTACATAAACGTGATAGAAACAACAGTAAATAACAGAAACTATCTTTGGAAAAAGGATATGTGAAGTGTAATTTAATTGTTTAGTTGGTCTCTCAACGGGACGTTGAATAACATGGGGAGGAGGGCTTTATGACCTATACTAGGACCGGTCACTGAGGGGCGATCGAGACGTTTTGGCTTCACTTTTGAGGGCTTGTGCGACACGCTTGGTTGGAATATTAGAACTAAAAACATTGACATACAGTAACACACTCATAGGCATCAATCACTTCACTGAATTCCCCGCTAAGAAATAAATAATTATTACCTTACAATTCCATCTGTTTTCAAATCCACATCATTTTAATATCACAACATCAATGTCTGTCAAAATTATGTGCACAATACACAGTAGTTACGAGAAGCAGAGGTCCAGTGAGTGCACGCATTTTCTGGAAAACCCACAAAGCCGGATGTTTTGACTACATCGCTTTCCAAGAAGAGGGTGAACATGGCGGCCTGAGCGGCTTCAACATGCTAACACTTAATGCACGTGAGTATAAATTTGCTCACACAAATTGTTTCAGAATGTTAAAGAAACTGAGTGAAATACTAATACTTCACACTGCATGTTAAAAAGAATAAATGCCAAACCAATTGAGAAAACTTTACAGGGTTAGTGAACATCATTCAACGTGTTGGTTTTGACCGATCATGCCCACACTCATTCTGAGTGATTAGAATATTTTCATGATTTGTTATTTAATTACCCCTTAGCGGATTCTGCTTTGTGTGTGTGTGTGTGTGTGTGTGTGTGTATATATATATATATATATATATATATATATAGAGAGAGAGAGAGAGAGAGAGAGAGAGAGTAAACTACACTGTAAAAAATGAATCAGATTTTTTTAATACCGCAAATAACTTGTATAATCGTATATAAAAAAGTTGAAAATTGCTTAACTTATTTTGATGAGTAAACTGTACACTGTGCAAAATTTTACAAAATAAAAAATGACTAAAACTTTCAAATGAAAATTAGCTTATTCAAAATATTAATAAAGACTATAATAGTATCTCAGTGATACACTAAAACAGCAGTGGTTGTCAGTGAAAGACTCAAATGTCCCTGTCAATGAAGCATCCACAAACCAGATGCAAAGGAAGAGCAGAAAGATCAATACTAATCATTCCATGTGTCTCTTTGAGGTGGTGGGCAGTGGAATAACACATTGCTAGTGTTTTCCAGTAGCACTAAAGTTCTAGAGTTAACAACAACAACAAAAAAAAACAGCACCAAAGCCCAGCTTGGCTGACCATAGTCTAAAATGGATCCTTGGAAAAGAAAGAAAGAATGAGAGAACAAGAGACAGAAAGGCGAGAGTACCGCCTAGGGAAAAGAATCTGACTTCAAAAACAGCAGCACTCGGAAAGAAACGCTTGGCTAAAGAAGAAAACACAAATTTTACCAAGAGGCCTGATAATCATTGGGATAATGAGCTCTGGATTGAATTTACAGGGATCTTTTTGCAGCACTGAAGTGTATGACACTGTTCTGATTAACAAATGCAGCTCTATGGGAGAAGGCACAGTGCATGGGCACTTTAGCAGCCAAGCAGGACATGCATTCTTTTAACACATTCTCAGGCCCTGAGATCACAAATAAAGGGTGCTAGTTTGCTTGTGAAATGAAACAAACTGCATAAAATGTGTATTGTGGGTAAATGACAACCTACTGTATAATTGTACACATATTTAAAGCAAGCTTCTGCATTTGGTAATCGTGAGCCAATTTTAGCTTTGAAACTTTCACATGACATTTACTTTAACATTTACCTATAAAACCTATAAGTAGGCTTATATGACAAAAAATATTTCATCAAATAAATAACATACACTAACTTTTTTGATCCATAAGATTTTTGATGTTTTTGAAAAAAACGTCACCAAGCTCACAAAGGCTGGATTTATTTGACCAAAAAAAAACTATAACATTCTGAATTATTATTACAATTTAAAATAACTGTTTTCTATTTTCATACGTTTTAAAATGCAATTTATTTCTGTGATGGAAAAGCTGAATTTCCAGCATCAGAAATCATTCTAATATGCTGATTTGGTGCTTTTGAATATTTTGTAGCATTGTAAATGTCTTTTTTTATCAATTTAATGTGTCCTTACTGAATAAAGTATTAGTTTCTTTCAAACTTTGAATAATAAAAAAATAATTTTAATCATAATTTTAAATACAGGAATACACACACACACACCCTCACTAACTCACAAAAATATGCAGTCGACAGGGACCTTTCACCACCATGCACTGCAATAATACACTCATCTTTGCACAGTTGTGTTTTAAAGTTTTATGGGGACATTCCATAGTCATAATGGTTTTTATACTGTACAAACTGTATGTTCTATCCCATAAACCTATCCATCACATAAAACTTTCTGCATTTTTAAATGTTCAAAAAGCATCACTGATTCATAAGCTGTTTTTATCATGGGGACCAAAATATTTCCCCACAAGGACAAGGATTTCAGATATAGGTAGGGAATACCTGAACCACACACACACACACACACACACATCTAATCAGAGTCTTGCCAAAAGAAATTAATTCTCTACCGCATTATGTAGTACATCCCCATTTTACCCGTTCTCAAAGTCCCCTCTTGCCTCAATGACACCACCCATGCTATTTAATAAATCAATTGCTAATTAATCTATTGACATCACCCTGTATTTTGAGTGTGTACAGATTCGTTACATAAGCATTAAAGAAAACCATTATAATCTGACCAAACACACATCAAAAAATGTAAACACAGTCCTCATGAGAGTACGAAAGCAGATTAGCTCCAACATTTTTTGTGCAGAATCAAGTTTCACGTGCTTCCATGCAAATCTAGGTGTTGTGTAGGTAGCATGAAAATAAGCCATAATGACGTTTTTACCATAGTAAAACTCAAAAGAACATAAATGCATTGAGGAGCTTGTGTGTGAATGAGGGGAGCGAGGGAAAGAAAAGATAAGAGTTCAAACTGCACAGTGACAGAGAGAATAGAAAATGCTAACCACTTTGTCCTCCTTCTTCTCCAGCATCACAGGGCATCACAGTGAGAGAGAAACAGGATGGTCAGTCGATGGTGGCAAAGAACAAGAGAGAAAAGTATGAAATGACAATCAGATATGAAAACAAACCATTTAGATGCATAGTGGAATAATAAGCAAATAACAGATCTACATTGGCATTGGCATCAGCAGCATCAAAGCCGTCAAAACACAACTTGTGTTGTCCAGTTACAAAACAAAAATGTGAATATTTAAATGTAAAAGAAAGTTGTACATTAAATATTTGGGATTTATTCACTTTTTTTTTTCTTACTAATCTTTAAGGAGAGATCATGCAAGTGTACACTTTATGATGGTGTAAATTTGCAGGTATGTTGCCACCCACAGGGCAAACTTTGGAGGTGCAGCCTTTTGCACTGATATTTACTCTAAATTTTCCCATGAATAATTCCCAGTGAGAATAAAGGTAGTTCATGGGTCACTGAAAACGAGAACATGACATTCTGCTAAGTAGGTCCTACTGCTTCAAAGCCACCATGCTAAAAAAAAAACTGATCAACAAATGCACAATCAAGGTGTACAAACTGTATGATTTTTTCATTCCTTTACAGAATTTGTAGATTGCTCTTTGAACAAAACATTGCTGTGTAAGAAAGCTGTTGCCATTTACCATAATGCTGTTTGAAGAGTAGACCTACCGTAGTATGATACAGTTTTCACTGATAACCAGTTGTGTAAAGTATTGGAGTAAATGTAAATAGTTACTGTTCTTAAGTATCTTTCTGGCTACTTTGTACTTTTACATAGTATAAAATATATCCAAAACTTTTACTCTCTACTTGACTACATTTTTGATAAAGTAATATGTAGGCCCACTCTTTACCCCAATACAATTACTGTATGAAGAGTAATGCAATTACATTTTGGATGAAACCTAACTTTTTCTCCAGCAGTTTATTTCTGCTACAAAAGTGAAATCACCATCTATAAGGTGGTACTTCTTCTGAGTTTTGCCCTTACTTATCCAAACCTATCAACATAGCTACTTACATAAATGTGAGTGCATTAGCAAATTTCATATATTAGATGAGGACATGCCCGCAGCCAAACAAAAAGCACATCCATTGCGAGGAGGATAGGACTCTTTCATTTTACCACATGATTTTATTTATCCGTTATGAAGGATATTGGTTTACTAATTTCCCGTTTGAGCACTTGTGCTTAGTCTTGACTGTCTGTAGACGTTTTAAGAGGCTGTTGTGTCGACCTTGATGTGCTCAGTTTTATTTCGATTTTAGAAAATAAACATTATTGCTCTCCTCTCAATTCAACTGTTTCTTTTTTTCACTGGCATGTCTCTTTAAGCCTAGATTCATTACAAGCAAAATACTGTTAAAATCAGATGATCTAAGACTTTTAAAGAGGTCATATTGGAATTGTTGACTTGCAAATTGTAATGGAGTAATTTTTGTTGTAAGGTATCAGTACTTTTACTTAAGTATGGTATTAGGTACTCTTTACACCACCTATATCTTACAATAACTATTGATAATTACTCAAAAAGGAATTGTGCGCACATCCTGACGTGAGGTCGGAAGACACTTTGGGTTAAAACATTGTTCATTTTAATAAATCCTTGGGAGCAGAAGTGGCAGTATTCAGATTATTTATTCTTAATCACTCAGTCGCTCCTACTGTCCGTGAGTGGGGATACAAAAATATAAAATCAAATGGAGGTAAAAATCTGTAGTTTTCACAAAAGCTCCAGAGCTGTCAAAATTCCGCCGCATTTTGCTGACAAATTTCTCAGTCCAAGTAGAATGGAGAACGATCATTCTCTGATAATAAGCATTCTAAGCATTGTTCATTTACATACAATACAAAGCGGGTTGAAAATCAGCGAAGTTACACTTTAAATGGTAGGAATTTTCGTAAAAGGTGCATTGAAATTTTTCAAGTCTGTTCACTCATACCAAATCATGCTATACTCATAGCAACAGCATTATAAAGTGTACTTCATCGCTTTTAGCTACTCTATCCAATCCACCAGATTGAGTAGGTGTAGCTCTCCATGTTTAACCTACAGGCATCTAGCGACTCCATTATCAAGCCTGCCACTCTTATTAATAGCACGCGCCAAAGGAATCCGAGAAACAACATGTGCTCATTTCAGCAAAACTAACCTAAGGCCAGCACCCATCTGATACCAATGGAGACTTTGCTTTCATTGCAGGACATATGTGATGTCTGCCTCCTTCTCGGACACAGGCAATATTACACCTGATCACCTTTCCAAAACCAACACTGGCCCTATTTGAGCTTTCATCCATTCTCAAATCTAAATGACAGGGTTAAGAAATTAATTTCATCAAGGGCTAAATGTAAGTAAAAAATGAGCCTTCGCAAGTATACCAGACCCTAACTGACATCAAATGATTTTCTCAGTGGAAAATTTACTTAAAAATAGAGATGACATTAAAATTAGTCTGATTCCAATAAGCAGGTATTATTTAAGATGATAACCAAATTCTATACTATTTTGTCTAGTTTAAAAATGAAACGCTAAATACGATAATTAAATAGTATTGTTCCAACTAAATTTAGCTATCACAACATTATGCAGAATTAAAAATGGGTATTCATTTTGAGATTTGCTAAAGATTACATTTAACAATGTTATAAAGTTATTGAGTGTTTGGGTGACGGCAAAGGTGATTTAAATGTAAAAGTAGGAGAAATAGCATAACTAATCAAATGACTCATGATAAAAATACAGGTTATTCATTTTTCATAGGCACAATAACAAATACTTCTCATTAAATTATACAACAACAACAAAATGTATACAAAAAAAATGTATGGCAAAAAGTTACTTTTGGACAATGGTTACAGTAAAAATGGCCTGGTTTCATTGTGTAGACATAGAAATGTACTGTACATATTTACCACAAATGCCCAAGTGGATACATCCATAAATAAATAAGTGTGTTATTAATAATTACATTTACCCCCATCTTCAGCTCACTGACCTCACTCCCTACTCTTCTGTCGACTCCCAACACTATTCTTTATGAGTGAACACAATTAGCAAAGCACTCTGGATGCAGTGGAAGGAATATAAAGCGAAGGTAAATATCACACTCCAGGAGGTGGCCCACCATTTCAGGTGCTTCCCTTTGCGTGGTAAGGCTGCCCCTGTGGAGACTCAGTGACGACTTGTGCGTCCCAGCATGGGTGTGTGGCGACCCCCTAGTGACCAGCAGCGTCATCTCCTCTGACTAATGCCCAATTAACCTTTCTCTCAAACACCCAGTGCTCTTCTCTCCCTGTCTCTTCCTAACGTTTGCAGAGGCAGGTCAAAGAAGCACGGAAAAAAGACTGGCCACTCACACGATGTAGGAGTTACTTACGTTATTGGAACGCAGAGAGACCCTTCCCCCGCACCGGGCACAGAACTTAGTCTGGCAGTATGAGCACAGGTTTCCGCAGCCATCAGCAAACTTGGTCTTGTGGCAGATGCCACAGGTGGGGGCGTCATCCTTGTGTTGGCCCTGCTGCCTCTGTTGGGGGGGCTCCGGCCCAATCCGCCTCACCTGCTCCTTGTAGTTGGCAACTTGCTGGTGCAAACTGGGAGGGGACGGGGAGATGAAGAAAAAGAAAAAGGATATGAATATGATCAACGGAGTTTAAAATCAATAGTAGCCAATTTAAACATTTTTACCTACTAGCTTCCAATTTAACATGTTTACCCCATCTCCCTCAATTTTACCAGCAAATGTAATATATATGTAGCCCTCAATTGGGTCACGGTGCCTATACGACCCCAATTGACTTTTACTTAACAAAAAAAGGTTCCCTTCATCTCAGTGGAATATGATTTTGTGACTTTTCATACATTATCTATCTTTACACACACACAAAAACTGGGCTTGATTCAGTTGTTCTGAAGGTATGTAAAAAAAAATGTTTACACTTCTGGTCTTCGGGGTCAATATGACCCCACATTGAAATGAATGGGAAATGTGAAAGAAAAAAAAAAACGAAATATATTTTCTTCATGTGTCAAAAAAAATAAAAAATAAATAAAAAATCTGGCGTAAATCTGAAAATTTTTACACAAAAATGAAGGCCTAGTACTAGAGCATAAATGCAATGTAAAAAAAAATACATTAAAAAAATAACTTTTCATATGCTAATGCTAAAGCTAATGTTGTAGTGGTATATGGATACAAAAGTACTTTATATCTCCAAAAACACAACATTAATGAATAGATGAGAAGTAAACAAAAAAAATGATATATTATTTGTATGATTAAAAATGTATATTTTTTGTATAATTACTCAATCAATTGTTGGGGTTGTATAGATCCCGAAGCCCAGAAGTGTAAACAGGAAACGAAGATCATTTGAAGTATATATATATATATATATATATATATATATATTTTTTTTTTTTTACTTAACCTAATAACCCCATTGTAACATTTCACCAGCAAATAAAAAATAATTAAAAAAGAAAACAATAACCCACAATTTTACTTAATTTAATTTTTGTTTTTCCAAAAATAATTCCAATATTATTTATTCAGATTAAATGTCAATATGTTTTTTTTTCAATGACTAATTCTTAAACTTTTATATTTCACCCATAAGGCAACATTTGTTTGCTACTAGCTATGTTAAAACTGAGCAATCGGTCAGCAAGTCATCGTTCAGCAAATCAATGTTTGATCTACTTTTTTTTCCCCTCACAGGAAAGAACCAAATAAACATAAATATAGCTCTGACGAAATCCCAAATCCAAATTTAAGATATGTTGGAAGAGTATGTTGTTAGTAGCCAGTTTTATTTTAAAGCTAATGAACTGACTAAAAACTCTTATTTCCTTCACACTCCAGCTCTCTCAATCTTCCTTTCAGTCTAATGTTCTTTCCACCATGTAGGGTCATCTCAAGCATTCACTCACAGAATGCTTGCAGACTACATGAACGCCTTCCAAAAAAGACAATCCAAACAAAACAGTGAGTAATATACAAAATAACACATATCCAGCAATTCCCCATCTAAACAGCTCAAGCAGATCTCAAAGATCTCAAGCAGGAATCTATCCATAGCTTTACTTACGCTAAAGGGGTCTTCCTCACAGACTCCTCCGCCATGACGATATGACGTAAAAATAAGCAACCTACATAGAGAGTTAAAAGAATATGCTACCCACGGAAGGTGATGAACGCACGACCAGCCATGCAGAATGTGCCCCAGAGAAAGACGAGATGATTTCAACACCTGCCCCCAGCCCTAACCCCAGTCTCCCTCCCCCTGTGCACCCCTACTGCTCTCCTGTTCCTCAACACCGGCACCAGCGGATGCGTCCTATGGGTCAAAGATAAACATAAAGGACAAGCTCCGACACAGAAGCAACAAGGTGCACGCAAGATCTTCCGGAATCAGTTTTTTTGCAAGTGTCTCAGAAGTTGCTTTTTCGACTTCAATACAACACTATACTAACTTTAGCAAAAGTGCCATTTTATTTTGGGAAAACGGAATGCAACAGAAAAACAAATGAAAAAGTGTTGTGTAACTGTTTGCATTGAAAGAATGTAGAGAGCAAAAACAAAAGATTTTTTTTTTTTTAATAAAAGTTAAATAAAATCTTTTTTTAAGATGAAATAAAGAGAGACACAAATGAGACAACCATTGACAGTGTTACAAAGTGAAATGTGAATAGCACTGCTCAAATACGTTGTTGTTGTTAAAGAAATTTGACAAAAAACATTTAATTGATTTTGAAACTTAAAATTTTGATTAGACTCAGGTCAAAACTAAGCACAGTCTGATACATTAGTGAGACCTTTTCTTAAACTATTGAAGACACGTCACATTACTGAGGTGAAAAGCCGTGAACCAAAAGGCCTCAGTTAATTATCATTAAGTTTTCAGAGAAACAAACAAGATTTATATATATATATATATATATGAAGAGTTCAGATGCAAAAGCCTCTAAGTGCCATTTGAAATTTTCCTCTAAAATGACCATTTTTATCAAGCTTGTATATTTAAGTTCAGTAATTTCACTTAAATGGCAATGAAGATTACCTATTAATTGTCATTTAAGTGAAATTACTGAACTTAAATATACAAGCTTGATAAAAATGGTCATTTTAGAAGAAAATTTCAAATGGCACTTAGAGGCTTTTGCATCTGAACTCTTCATATATATATATATACTTTTTTTTTTTCAAATTTCATTTTTGTTCCTTCGCTTAAAGGTATAATTGTAAAAAGACTACATTATATTTCCCAATGGCTTGAAATGGGTTGCAATCTAACAAAAAAGTGCTTTTCTCTATTCAGTATTAATATGTAAAACTCATCTTTCAAACTTTCAGACCACAATGACCTTTAGTTCTACTAGAAAGACTCAGGAGGCAAAATAACGTAGCATAGTATACATTTATTAACAGCCCAGCAAGCAAATATTGAGTTAAAAAGTTATTTGGCACAGGCCCCGTCCATAGCTCGCAATCCAAGGGGAAACAAAATCTGCATATCCTGCCTGAAGACGAAGGCAGGGGCGCAGCAGACCCCCCTTGGAGGTATAGGAAGGGACCATGCTGGTGGTGGTGGGGTGTATGGACGTGAATGTTGGCGTCAGCATCTGCGAATTTAGACATGTTTAAGTACCAATCTCTCTGAGAAGGTAATAAGTGACGTAACAATTTAGTCTTCCTGGCAGAACTTGCGCTAAAGCTTTCATTTACAGTACAGTAGCTCTAATGAGCAATGTAGCACAACATCAACGTTGAGATGAAATTGAGCAGCGCTATTTAAAAAAATAACAATCTTTCAATACTTGTATGAGAAATCAAGACAAACATTGAGCTTGGCACTGTAAAAGAACATATGAAAGTGCTTTGTATTCTGAACAGGAAATGATATTCAGGAAAGCAGCCCAGGCTTGCCATAATTGAGACAGCACATAAAACAAAGACCCATAAGTGAAGCACAAGGTTATACGAAAGTGAACCACTGCTTTACTTTACTAACACAAACCCCTCTTCCCCATCACAAATCATTTGCTTCTCTCTCTCTCTCCCTTTCATCCAGGAATAGAAGTAAACCTTTTGTGAAATGCAAATCAGGCAGAGTCTGCAAGAAAATACGGGCAATTCACACAGGACTCCGGCATTAGCATAGAACTTGGAGTAATTAAGGTATGAGGAAGCTCTAATTAATGTGGTAAAGTGTGGGGACACGGAGGAGAGCTGGCTTGGAGATGCGGGAGGTGGGGCGCAGTTTTGCAGAGTTCTCCCCTACTTCATGACAGCTGGTCTCAGAGGCTGCTGCTGCTGATGTCGTCGGGCGAGCACGTGGAAACGTCTGTGATTAAACAGCTGTCAGCAGTCGCTCGTACTAACACACACCATGACAGGAGCCACAACTGTAACTCATTGGCTGTGCGCAGCGTTCCTGCGGAGACATTGGTCGGGCCTATACACGCTAGCCCATTTATCATGTCCGATAGGCCCCACGGCTCCCTACATGGGCATTAAGCCACCCTATCTGTGCCAGGATGTTGTATGAAAGGAAAGACGGGGGACAGAGATGTAGTGAAAGTACTGCTGAGGTTGGGTCAGTGTAAATTCAACATCCTTCACAGCAAACACCGGGACAAACGTGCATTTATGAGGGAACAGCGCAAGTTGGCAGCCTGTGATGGAGTCATAAATGCAGTTTACATGCACTAGCAGCTCCGTTCATGTTTTTGAAAAGGTCTCTTATGCTCACCAAGGCTAAATTTAATTGATTAAAAGTACAGTAAGAGTAAATCAACATTTTTTTAATGTAATTTATTTCCCAGGGTCCTCCAGAAATCATTACTAATGTGGTGCTCAAGAAACATTTCTTATTATTAACGTTGTTGAAAACACCTGTTTAATATTTTTGGTGCAAGCTTAAATTGTTTGTAATATTATTTCTGTCTTTACCTTGCATCTTTTATACATTAAATCTAAAAAAAAATGTTGTCTGTCAATAAACGGGTACATGCACTACTGTATAACCTACATGTACGTATATGTTCGTATATAAATATTTTGTGAACATGGATAGCTGTGGACAAACATGCATTATTATATACTGTATAGCACGAAAGACAAGGAAACCTCAAAGTAAAAATCAGCTCTTCCTTCTCTTAACATTGTCTTGAATGACGAACAGGGCAGCACTTTATGCTGCCAGGCATAAGTACCTATGAGAAAGAAACGGTCTCAAGTCTTGATAAAAATGGGCTAAATTTAGCCTTGTAAATGAACGAAGCACTTTCACTCTATTGGTTCAATGAATTTAAAGGCTTCTTACGATAATGGCAGCCGCTCATGTTTTGCATTTAACAGCTGTTTAACTGGATTTTTTAAAAGGCTTTTGCTTATAAATCCAGTGATGCTGACATCCACTTCTCACAACGGGACCAAAGCCACTGAGGCCAAACTAGAATCATTTATCTCGTCACCTGGAGATCAATGTTTGAAAGTGAGCGCAAATCCATCAAAGTATCCTGTATGAAAGCATCAGGAACATAGTGAGAAAATCGCTCCCTTCCAATTTAGAAATTAACCCCCCCATTC